GCAAAAGGGATTTTAGTTGCTTGCTGAGTAAAATCTGGAGCTATGGTGAGGTGCCCTTCCACAGCAGTGTCCCAGTCTGTGCTCTCCTGTCATGTCATGGATCTCATCTTTCTGGAGAAATTAGAAGATCAAATAAATTAGCTTTCTGCAATTACTCGAGAAATGTAATAGTCATACTGATAAAATAAATTTTATCCTCAGGTAAAAGATGTTTGTTCTAATAGGGCTGTACTAAATCACTTCTCAAATGACAAGGTGAACAGTAGCTCAGTATGATGGAAAAAAAGATAAGTTTTCTTTTAAGTTGCACTTCTATCGTGCTTATACTTAAGGTGAGACAGATATATAAAATAATATTACTTAAACAAAGTTATCTTTATGCTTTGTTTCAATATACACATTTAATTCTATAGTCTGAATGATACTCTTACACTTAGGGTAACCTGTGTTAAAACTGTTTTTCTGAATACTAACTGCAGTTGCAATGTATTTCACTGAACTGAACTTGTGTGTGTTCAAATGGGTGTGCTTAATTTTTAATGATGGCTCTGCCAGCACTGACACAGGTCAGTTTGACTTTTTGCCCACTATTTACGTAAGAAGTCAGTATGAAAAAAAAAATGGGTTTATGAAATTTGATCTGTACATCTTGTATTTGCTGCCCAAAGCTATTAATTGATGCCCAAAGAGAATGAGCAGCACAAAACACTCCTCAGATCTTGGGAACTCAGTGTAGACCTGGGAAGAACGTTTTGAAAAATTTTACGAGTATTGTTACGCTTAATTTTTTTTTTTGGTTAAGTGTTCAGCAAAGAAAGTAGCATTTCGTGAAAAACAGAATATTTTTCTGTATAAAAGGATATATTTTATTTTGATATAGAAACAAGGTTATTAATCACAGTAAGTCCAAGTGTTTACTCATTGATGGAAGAATAAGAAGTAGTAATCAAACATGTTGAGAAGCTTTCTTTTTTTCCTTTTCCCTTTTTTTCCTTCCTCTTCCAGGTTACTTTTCTGCATTTTGTCAGAAATTAGTGCATGTGTAGTAGGAAATACATAATGGAAGATAGGATTTTAAACCCAAGAAAGCTGGCAGCCAGACTAAGGGCCAAGCAAAGCTGTTTAATTTTTTTTTTAAAGCTCTTGAAGATATTTAAATTATCAATATCCATTTTATCAGGAAGTCCTGGGTGCTTTGGCAGTACGCACATATACTTCTTGCTCAACTGCAAGTCCAGTAGCACACAAATGATACCGTATTTTTCCAAACTGATAGTTAACAGATATCCCAGTCGCTGAGCAGAGACAGCCTTTGCTGGGATATAATCTCTTTTCACAGCTTTCTAACTCTCAGTGCAACCATTCTCCTTAGGGTCACAAAGGTGTTATATAAATGCAAAGATATTTAGGGAGGAGTTTGTCTGTTAAGGTTTAGTATTGAATGCAGTTTTCATTTTAGGTCAGATTCTACCCAGTGCTGTGGGATCAAGGAAGACTTTCTGATTCTTTGTCCAAAGCCAAAACATACATTTTACGGATATTTAAAAAACAAAACAAAACTCAAACAACAGCAAAAAAACTAAACCAAAAAAAATTCTCTCCCCAAACTTTACAGTTTAGAACTGTGTTACACAGGTGCGGTATGTGAAATACCACTTTGATGTGTTGTAAAAGCAATCATGACCAAAAAAAATTGTTTTTCTCTCAAGAGTTATGTGAAGGGAAGGGACGTGAGTGCTAACTTTTAAAATTCGAAAACTGAACACCTGGAGGTAATTATATTTTTAAATGTTTTCAGGCTGAGTCAGAGTTAATGGCAAATGGGAACCATATTAGATTGGCAGATGATTAGTAGAATTTATCATAATATGCTTAGCATAATAAGCATGGTGGTCTTGATTATTCAGTGACAGTTTGTGTAGTAATTTTTCCATTAAAAGACTATGTCAATCTGTCAGTAAATATATTCATTAGATCAAGTATGCCATGCTTAATACATGTCTGGTTTCAAAAATAATACTAGCTTTCTCCAGTAAGATGAGACATCGGTAGTCTTCAGATGGTTTACAAAACAGACCTTAAGCAGATTTCACTTAAAAACATGAATTTTATAAAAAGACTGAAACATTAAATACAAGCAAATCCTAGTAAGCGTTCCTACCTTTACTTGCACGTAAGTCAACATGAAACAGGTCCAGGCAGGTTGCAAAAAATTAGCTGAAAAGTCTTCTCATTTTTTTTTATAAACTACACAAGTTGTGGCTGCGTACAGAAGGAGCGATTGAAGGTTTCACAGACTTACAGTGTCGCCTCTTTCAGAAGTTGTCCCAAAATTCTAGAAAAAGCTCATTTGGCTTTTTTTTGTGTGTGTGTTCCAAATTGTATGTCTATCTGTAGAATGGAAATCATCTCTGACAGGTAGACTGTAATCTTTGTGTGTGACCAGCCATTAGCCTCAGTTCTCTTAATGTTTTTTTGTTTATCAGCAGTTTAAAACACTTTGTTCTTATATTAACTCACTTGTTTGAGACTGGTGCTATGAAACATTGATGCAAAGAGTAGTCAGTAATGTCTCGGTTTACTAGCAGAACAGTATCAGTTAAAGTTGCCAGCAAAGAAGTGTTCATAGCATTTGGATTAATAGCTGAGATTAATATTTTGTCTAGTTTATTCCTAATGATGGGATGCAAGGAGGTACTCAGTCTTATTCTAGTCCCTTTTTTTTCTCATCTGCCAGGTTTTCTCCAAGGAAATAACACCCTCTCATCCTTCAAAAAAAAAAAAATCACAACAAACTCCCAAAGATTGTGTTAGTCATCTGCTTGATTATTAGAGATTATTTGTAACTGTGATAAGAACTTGGATTTTGACTTTTGTAAACATACAGAAGGTGGAAGAGTATTGAGCAATTTTTCTCATTATCTCGCAGAGTAATCTCACAGGGTGTAGCATTGCTGAACTAATGGCCCTCAAATAGTAACTTATCAGAGCTACTCAGGGATTCTTGCCATTGCTATAAAAAGACATTTGGCAACAAGCAGTATGTCATATTAGAAGCACAGCCATTTACTAGAACATAAATATGCTAACGTACTTCACTTACAAACTCTTCAATGGCATCTGGTTCTAGAAAACTTAAGTAGATGGTTTTGAGCATCACGGATAATTAGTTGTTCTAAATACTATAATTTTAAAGCAGTTGTTTCTTGAGATGGGTGATAAATTACTGCATTTGTTACGTATTTCTTTTTGGCATTTCACCTGACCTCTCAGAGCTTTTTGGTAAATACTAATTAAGAAGTGATGACTCTTTTGCAGAAGGTTTGTTAGGTAGTTTGTACCCATTTCGTAGTTAAACAGAGAAAGACATATCACTTGGTTCAGACTGGAGTTTCCTAGTCTAAGCGCTATACTTTTTCTTTTCTTTTTTATTTTTTTCCCCTGAGCTAAGGAACATATTTAAAATGCTGTTTCCTCACCTCTGTAAGAAATTAATTTGCCAGATGTTAGACTCTTGTGTCTTTCTCTTGCACTGCTGGAGCGACTTGACTTGCTGCCCCTGGTTGTTGCTGTCGTACGCTGTTAGAGGCTTGCTTGGAGGAGCCGTGCAGCGGCTGATGTGCCTGACTACATTGGTGCAGGGTTGGTGCTGTCTTGTTTGATGGCTTCCAGCTACAAATGAAGTCCTGGTCAGTCGTCATCTAAGCGGCATATGATTGCTGTATTTAGGATTGGGGGGAAAACATGTCATATAAGCAGAACCTGGATGTATTAATTTACATTCTCCAAAGCGTTACAGCCTTCTGTACAGGTTGCACTGGACTTGACTTTCGCTCTTGGCTGTAATTCTTGCAACTTCATGAGTAGCCTACTTCTTTCACAGTTTAAGTCAAAATCTGTAAGCTGATCCTGGGATTGATTGGTGGTGGATTTGGGCACCTTCAACAATACTTGGCTGAGAAAGTGGTGTTATGGCTGTTGAGGAGAAAGGTACCTTTTCACTCCCCTGACAGACCTGCTCTTTCTTGGTTCTCTCTTAAATCTGTGTTTTGCATATACTTGATTGCCAGACATGTCTCTTAAGCAGGTATTGATTACACAGATCATCGAGGAATCAGGTGTCCAAGTATTGGTCCAGCAAATGGTCAATTGACATGTCCATGTAGGCAGAGCTGGGTACTCCCTGAAGCTATCAGGTGTTTTGTGACTGAGAATTCATTATTCCAAAGAACTACCTTTATAATACACAGTGTTTTAACTAGCAATATGTTAATGGTTTAGTGTTAATTAAATATTATCTTTTCCAATACATTAATGGATGGAATGTAACCACTCTTAATTCAAATGTTCAGATTTTTTTTTGTAGAATATCTGTTGCTGCTTTTGATGTTGTTCCTAAATAGAAATCCTGTAGAATTAATAAGAGGAAAACAAAACCAAACCTCACAACATCCCAAAACCCAATGTAGGTCAATACTTGAGCTGCTGTTCTCAGGGGCGTTCCACACTGAAGGTCTAGTAGACCATGCCAAAAGATTGTCATGAAGTGAAAGCTGAAATGTAGAATCCAGTATAATTTTGACCATTAGGAGACATACTTGCAGATAATTGTTATCCTTTGAGGAAATATGATATTTAAGCTTGCTTGGTCTGAGGATAGGGGTCTTTTTCCTTTGTGTGTCTGAGGTCTAGGTCTGATTCTCACTTTCTTGTTCTTTAACGTGGAGAGAGAGTAGGGAGTGTTATTAAAAGCTAAGCTCTAGTGGCTGAGGAATGTAGCTGTCAAAGTTGAAAACTAGTCCCCGTAACCAGGTGGGGACCAGCAATGAGTGGAGCCTCATGGATTACAGTAAGCCTTGAATCCTCTATGCTCTATGTGTGGCAGGGGACTTCCCGAGCCAATAAAGGAAAAATGTTAATGGAGTAAATGACAACATGAAGTATTTAAGAATTGTTTCTGTATGGGAGCTTAAACCTCCTTTTTTCCCCCTCTTTTTCAGAAAGAAGACACAGCTCCTCCAGCAAGCCGCCTTTGACTCCTCCTTCCTCTTCAGTATTTTCCCTCATTTCATCTTTCCCTTCAAAAAACAAAGGTAGCAGTGGAAGTGGGAGCAGTCGTTCATCCAGTGGAGGTACTAGTGCATCATCATCAAATTCTAAGTTGTTGAAATCACCCAAAGACAAGCTGCAGATCAGCGGAAACAACAGGTTAATGCATTCGGTACAGCATAGCAAAGTTCCCCATGATAAAATGTGAGTATGCATTTTAACAAAGAATTAAATGTTGTTATTTGCATAGACACTGCTATATCACTAGAAATTCCTTTTGTTTCAGAGGGTTTTTAGTTTGAGATAATCCCTTTAAACTCCTCCAGATCTTTTCCAGTAGCCTCATCTAACATTATAAATAATACTCATGACTACGTTGAACAAGAGATCTTGCACAGCTGCATTTTAAATCGCTATAAATACAGGTCATTTTACTAGGGACTCTTAATTGTTTGATCTAATCTGCATACTCTGATCATAAGGGAGTTCTAGCTGATTCAGGTGATTTTCGACCTTTGCAGAACTGATAATACAATCTACTGTCATAGAACGGGGCATTTCTCAATGGACAAAACAGGCCCATTCCAGTTGCTTTGGTGATACGCTGAATCTGTGAATCCAAATAACAGTTTCTGAAGTCCCTGATGACTCTCTGAAATATGTACAAGGAAGTGGGGAAAAGAGGATGGAAGAGATTATGGACATCATTAAAAATGTAAAAATAAAAAAGATAAGAATTAGAAAACTAGCAATAAAGGAGGAAGATCTACATTTGCAGTGTGAATAGACCAGAGTATTCTTGGGCAATAACATAGTTTAAGTACTTTTTATAATCTTATGACTATAGTTTTCACTTCTCTCCCTCCTTTGTTTTTCATAAATAATAGTATGACTCCATCTGTCAAAGTGGAAAAGATTCATCCAAAGATAGATGGTGCCCAACTGAAAGCTGCTGTTGGTCCAACTTGTTCTACTACTGTGAGTTCCTCAATAAAGACTGGCCTTAATTGTCCCTCAATACCAAAGCCACCCTTGCCTTCCCCTGGACAGATACTGAATGGTAAAGGTCTTCTCTCTGTGCCTCCATTTTTGGAAAAGAAACCTGAAGAAAATACAAATAATAGGAAATTTTTGCATAAAAGATTGTCAGGTAATTGTTTTTAATTATTATTTGCTATATTTCTCTTAGTAGTGTATCTATAGAAATACATATATAGAATATATAGAAATGTGTCAGAAGTAAATTAAACACTTATAACACTGTAACTTGTAATTAGGTAAGTTTTATTTAGTAGAATTTAACTTTATAACTTGGCATACTTTTAAAGAATACAAACAACTTGAAATGTGGCTATTACTTTCAGAAACCATACAGACCTCAAAGGCCTATTATCCATTCTTACAGTTTTGAAGTTACGCTCTTCTAGTATCTTTTAAAGATTTTCTTTTCCTTCTTTCTGTATGGAAGGTGCAAATGTACATAGAAAATGGAACAACTAGCACGTCATAAACTCAAAAATGACTGCTCTTTACACTTTTGAAACACAATAACTTTGAGTGTTAGTAGAACAGTAGAAAAGTTCTTAATACCAAAACTAACAAAAAAACCCCACCATTTGTTTGTCATAGTTTGTGTTGATGGTGACCTTTAATCCTAACATGCAGGATCTACTCCTCCTTTGAGGTCCCTTACAGCTGTAAATTTCTCCATTCTGTTTGTAAACTTGAGATCTGTACTTCAGCACACCATAAACTTGCTGAGAGTATAGAAAATTTTATTTATACCATTTCATTGTGCACTTTTATTTGTACATTTGCCTGTGTTACATTTGAAAACAGTTTCCAATATGGTTAATTTTTATAATGAAAATAAATGTTAGTATTTCAAAATGTCTTGCAATAATTTTTCAATACTGTGTACCTTTGACAGAGAGAGAATTTGATCCTGATATATACTGTGGTGTCATTGATGTGGAAACCAGGAAACCTTGTACTAGGTCTTTGACATGCAAGGTAGGATATCTTAATCAGAATGATTATATAATGTGTTAATTCAGTTTCCTGAGGAATATGACAGAAAACAGAAAACTACGAATTTTTGCTGTCAGTAATTACCCCTGTAAATGGTACCTCTCAAAACATGTTGCCCAGAACCAAGAAGGAATTGTTTTTTGAAGTTCAGTTAATAATTTATTCAAAAACATGTTTCTTAAAGTAACCTGGAGATTTGTATTTTTGTATAAACCCTTTAAGCATGGATGTTGACATGGGACAGATTATGTTACTCCACATGTAGGTCGCAGAGGGCCAGCATGTTCTTTTTGGGGAACCTTTTGGTCACATATCATGAATTTTAAAATTCCTCATAAGCATTAAAAGTATTACTTGATAATGCAGGATTTATACAAATTAAACTCCTCTCCTCTCACATCCCCTCCTTTCCCCCCAGCAGAGTCTGCAGCAGATACTTGGGAGGTATTTGTGTAAATGCTAATGCTGCTTGATGTACGACTACAGCCAACTCAGAAATGAGTCCTCTGAAAAAGTCATGGAATATGCCTAGAGGACAAATTCTAAATTAAACAATCCGTAAAAATTTTCAGTTAGATGAAAGGTGTCCTCTGGCTCAAAAATCTTGGGGGACAGAGGGATATCACTTAGTCCTGAGGCACCAAAAATCCAGATCCCCTGCAATTGTGTAATATTTAGCTACTTTCCTGCAAAGCAGCTAAACTGTCAGTAGGGGAAGCATATGGTAAATAAACCACCTACTGAACAAAGGTAAATGAAGCTGGTACTAATGACCCAGAGGAACTGAACTTGAACACTTTGCCCTTTTGGAATTACGGGGGGGGGGCGGGGGGGGCAATTGTTTTGCTAATAGAAGAGGGAAAAGCTTCAAGATTTTACAAGAGAACTAGGCAAATCAAAAGTGTAAAAGAGAAAGAAAGTAAAAACGTTCCTCAGTAATTCCTTGTATTATACTTACCCATAAAATATTTTCCAGAATTGCTCTTTGTGTCTGAATTATGTGATAATAATTTTTACCTACTCAAATGAACACAATCAAACCTTTTACGCCATATGAAAAAAAGAAAGTATTGTATGCGACTTTAACAATTCAGAAAAATAACTTCCATCTATTTCACTTTACCTAGACTCTGTGCCATATATACACATAGCCATCTTACTATGTGTAGCATTCAAGACACTCAAAGGACTTTGAGTTCTGTCTGACTCTGTGGATTCTGCTGTATTTTTTTGCATTGCTTAATATCTGTTTGATTACATTAGTTTTCAAGGAGTGTATTCATATAGAGAAGGAAACAAAGTATTTTTATAAATATTTTTCATGTCTCCCATTAAAAGTATGATACTATTCTGTTAAATATTTTCATAAGTGAAAGTAAATATTTAGGTTTTTTGGTTGTGCACTAGTTGGCAATTAAAATACCAATGTAAAAAAGATTTTTCAATTCTAGTCTTAACCTTATAAGAACTTTAGCAGTTTATTTTTTAAAAAGAAACTTGAAAGAAGCCTTTTATTCAGTTGCTGGTTTTTGTTATTTTGTATCATCCACCAAGCAATTTTAAAGTTTGTTTTCTAAGTCATTCTTCCATTTGTTTACTGAACTATGAATGTGATGATTTTCTCTGTTTTAGAGCTCTAGACACGTGTTTTGAGTGTTTGATTTACACAAATCTAATAGCCTGGGATTAATGATTTATTCATGGTTTTGCAGACACATTCCTTAACCCAGCGGAGGGCTGTACAGGGTCGAAGAAAACGATTTGATGTGTTGTTAGCTGAGCACAAAAGCAAAACCAGGGAAAAGGAACTTCTTCGACATTCGGATCATCATCAGCAGATGCCCCCTCTCAGGGAACCACATCCCTCACCTACTAAAACTTCCCAGGAGCTGCACCAAAATTCTCATGGAGTTACTCTTACAGATTCAAAGCCTTTATTACCTAATAAACCTAAACCTCACCCCCCCAGTCTTCCAAGGTAAGGAAAATCTGCAGATCCAATGGTATTAAATTAATACTGATAGCTTCATCAGGTGGATTTTGAAAGAGCGATAATACGGATCTGTTGGACAGGGCAGTATTTTTCCTCTAGGCCTGGTGACTGTTGGTATGCAATTAGGAAATACATGCTAAACTGCAACTCCTAGCAAGGAGGGTTTGGTGTTTGAAACCGTGAAAGCTGACTTGCATCAATGAAAGCAGTTCAGCAACAATTGGGCAATGCTGCTTTTCCAGGGGTACCGTACTCCCTGTCCTCCCTCTCGGTAGGTGTGTTATGAGACGATGGAAAATATCAGAAATCTGTTAATGTAGATTTCCTTCTGTCAGTAATAGTAAGCACTTTAAGCTTGGAATTTTCAACTAGACTTGGTTCAATAACACCTTTATTGCTTGCCTTGCCCAGGCCTCCAGGCTGTCCAGCCCAGCACAGTGGAAATGCCCCTAGCGAGTCTCCTTCTGTCCACGAGTCCCCGCACCCTCCCTTGCCTGCAGCTGAGCCAGCATCTCGGTTATCCAGTGATGAGGGAGAATGTGATGAGAAAGAAGAACCTGTTGAAAAACTGGATTGTCATTATTCAGGTCATCATCCTCAACCAGCCGCTGTACGTTTTAAGTAAAAGTTAACCTTGGTCTCTCTCTGGCTGTGAACTTGTGAACACATTATTTGGGGGTTTTAAGTGTGGCATTCTATTGAGTGTGTGATTATTCCCCCCGCCCCGCCCCAGATTTTAAGAAAATTATTTTGTTGCCCAGTAGGCAGTGAAGGTTTAACTGTAGCTGCAAAGTAAATGTGCTAAAGAAATATGTTTGGACCTCATCCAATCCAAAAGAAATCAAAATGCCAAAATACTGAAGATGAAATTGGTAACTGCTCTAAAGAGCTATGGTTTTTGGAATAAAGACATGTAAACAATGCCTTTTTGGCAATATTTTGTTGTCGGACTTTCCCTTGCACGCACACACATTTTTTACTGAAGGTGCCAGTCATCAGGGTGTAGCTAGCAGTTATGTGTTGTTTTAATATTTAAATCTTGACAAAAGCTAGTTAGTCTAACTAAAAGCACAAACTTTATTGCCTAGCCTGTATATCAAATTACAT